AGATGGACATTGTTCAGTTTGTTTAAATGTATCATGTGATTAATTCATTTATTGTAAAAGAGCTGCTGTAGTATTTTTCTTTAAGTCATCCTTATAGTTTTTTTTCTCTTCCATAGGCTACCATTCGTTTATATTGAGGTAAATTGGTCTCAAATTTCACAAATACACATATGTGATTCAAACACACACAGGACAAGATCCACACACACACTCACACAGCACGATTCACGCAAGCATACAAGATTCAGCGCATGATTCGACAAAGTATTTCTGGTCCATAAACGATTATAAATTAAATCACAAAGTATTAGTGGTCTTTAAACTTCACTGTATTTTTGTGTGGTTTGTTAAGACTCTCCTGACATGCCTCGATACACTAATGCCTTTTTTTTAAAGAGCGGATGGTTTGCAACCAATCACAAAGCTCCCTTGCATAAGCCAATCACAAGAGAGTAATCCACGTGGAATGGCTATTTGCTCCGCTCTGTTCCAGTGTTCTGTCAACTCAGCATGCAGCGTCACACCAGCATACCCTTAGTAATACTTATTACATAGTTTCCTCTGTCTCCGCTGTCCTTACATCCAATTACGCTGTTTAATTTTGCGATTTAGTCAGGTTTTTGTCATAGTTTGTGTATAAAACAACAGAAAAATCATTCACTAGGTTTGTTAAACATGCATACATGTATGAATCACATATTTGTATTTGTGAAACTTGAGACCAATTTAGCTCCATACTTTTAGCCCCTCCCCCCTAACTTGATGGCAGAACTTTGATATTGCCACAAACATACAGACAAGCAGAATTCCCTCAAGCAGCTGATATATTGGTGTTTCATGGGACTAAATCTGTACGGTAAAAGGCTCAATATGTGTATTGAGAGAAGTTTGTGTGAGTAATAAATAAAACTCCTCGTATGAATATTTATTGTGTGGATGCCTTTTTGGGTAGACTCCATACCAAAATATTTCTACTGCTTCTTATTGTGTTTCTGCTCTATCTTCTAAAACCCCCGGTTGGTTGTTGCAGAAAGCTGTTAACAACAATCCTGACTCTGCTGGAAGTTTCTTCCTGTTAAAGGAGAGTTTTCCTCTCCACTCTCGCTTCATGCATGCCCATTTTAAAGGAATCCTACAAATAACAGGATGCAATTGAATGGCCACTGTTTCAACATGATCATTCAGGAGAAGTGAATTCTAAAGTCAAGGATTTGATGCAGTCTGACCAGGGTTTCTTTAGAATCAAACTCTGGATAGTGTCTTGAGATGGCTTTTGGTATGAATGTGTTATGAATTCATTTGGTTTGTTTAATAGAGAGGCTGGACGCTCCTTCTTGTCAATCAATCCAGTCTTGTTGGGGTGTTTTTTGTTTTTTAACCTTCTGCTCTAAAATGAACTATTTTACAGTAGTTTACATATACATTTGCAATAACGTACTTTAAATGTAATATGCAATTACCTTCCACTGCACTTTAATTTATATAGCTTCTGTCTAAACTTTATTTATTCATTTTATAGTAAAACCCATCTGTATATATGCTATTGTACATAACTGTAAAAACCCTTTGTATTTTCAGCTTTTTATTTATTTTTTGTATTATTTGTAAAGTGACCTTGAGTGTCAAGAAAGGCCCTGTTAAATAAAATGTATTACTATTATTATTAATGTTTGTGAGATTTTGTTAGTAAAATAGATTGATACCACGTCAATATATCAACATATAAAAATATGGCAAAATTTCGTGAATTTTCGGGGGATTTCGTAGCATAACGATGACATATAGCAATATTTAATTAGTAAAATAGATTGATACCACGTCAATATATCAACATATAAAAATATGGCAAAATTTCGTGAATTTTTGGGGGATTTCTTAGCATAACGATGACATAAAGCAATATTTAATTAGTAAAATAGATTGATACCA